AGTTATGTCTTAGATGTGTATATGTCCTTGAAAATACATGTGTGTGTTCTGGTAATTATATCTTCAACATTTATTTATGATTTTTAAAAAGCTTGTTAAATGACAACGTTAAAACACATGCCAAATGTAGAACATAATTTGGTTATTGGGATAAGCATAAACTTACCATATGATTCAATAAGTTAAAAGAATTAAAAAAGGAAGTTCAAATAGCAACTTTGCACATGAACATCCATAACTACACAATTCCTAACATCTTGAGATGTTAGTAAGGCATAAATAACCCAAATTTGCATAATATATGGTTATGTAAAATGTGGTATAACCACATAGTAGAACACTATTTAGTCATAGAAAGAAATACAGAGCTGATATAAACTGCCACATGGCAGACCTTAAAACATTATGGGAAGTGTAAGAAGTCACACACAAATACCGCCTGTTAAAAGACTTAATTTATATTAAATTTCCAGACTAAGCATCTGTAAGATGCAAAAGCAGACCGGTGGTTGCCAGGGTGGAGAGAGGGGAGAATGAGTAGTATCTGTTAGTGGGTATGGTGTTTTTCTCAGAAATCACAAAAATGTTCTGGAACTATGTCATAATAGTGGTATTTTAACACTAAGGATATTAAATATTGCTAAATTGTAAGACACATTAAAATGGTAACTTTGATGTTATGTGGAGTTTATCACAATATTTAAAATCTCTCACACAGAGACTCACACAGACCTACTAGACATCTCAACTGCTCCTCTCCTTATTCGAGAACAAATGCTTAAACTTTTCCATTTGTGGTACTTTTGATATTTGTGTTTAAGAGCAGCACAACTGCTTTTAACAAAGAGGAAAAATCAGAGTTGTCCAAATTTATGATTTCATAGAGAATATCAAGAAGCCACATGAGTATTGCTGATGTATGCATGAATATTCCCGAGGAATATGTTGACTCTCCCCACAAAAGTGGTTTATACTCAAACTTGTCTGTGAAGAGCAGGACCTGCCTGCACCTTTTCTGTTAGCTTCTCTCTCCTTTAGCTCCTGCCCCATGGAATCCTGAAGAGAACATCCCTGAGTTTCACTTATATAATTCATTCTTTTTATTTATAACATGGATTTTTTTGTAGCAGGGATTGAATTCACAACCTTATGAAGCAGGCACTTACCCACTGAGCTAAACCCCTGCCCCTGTTTTCTTTTCTGGGGGGGGGGATATTTTTAATTTAGTGGATTTTTAGAGGCTCTGTCAAGGTAAATGAAAACCAAGATAAACACATCTCTGCTGTCATGTGTAGCCTCTTGCCCACGTCCTGTGCTCTCAGTGGTTCCTTGGGATTATTTATGGTGTGGGAGTTAGGTGTGTGAATAGTACACCATTATCAGTGAAAGGGACCAATGGGAGCAAAGAAATGGTGTCATTTGGTGCAACAGCAATTTCAGAGGCACTGAAAGATGTTAAATGATGCTCTTTAACAATCAAATCATAACCAGAAGCAACTCAGATAGTTGAAGGAAAAGCAACTTTTTATTCTGAATTATGCATTAAAATAGATTTACAAAACCCAAACTTCTGAAAATAAAAAATGAACCTGAGGGGTAAAGATAGTGGATAAATAACAGCAGGCTACAGAGGCTCCCTGAGATAGTCAACTTAGATTCCAAAACAATATAGCGTGAGAGTCCCAAACAGAGGGAGATGGATCATCTCAACCCAGGAAGAAACTAAGGTGAGAAGAATCAATCAAACATACAATCCTGGTGTTACTATTGGAACAGGTAAAGACTTTGTGCTCCTGCTGCAGTGCCAAACTCACACAGCCACAACTTACTGAGCCACCTGAATTCCCGCTGCTTTGACTCACTGGAAACACAGTCACACTAAGATCCAGGGTGGAAGAGCCAAATGCAGAGCTGAGCTGGCAAGAAACCACATCCACCTGTGGTAAGTGATGGGATTAAAACCAAACCACAGAGAAGGAGGCTCCAACAGACGATACTCTGGGACTGGGCAGACTGGCAAGAACAAGGAGCAGCAGTGACTTCAGTCAGCTGCTCTGTGCCCAGAAGGGATTGGTGGGGTGTGTTTGGCCTGGGTCATGCCCCTAGCTGACCCAGCTATAAGCTATCCCAAACCAACTCCCCATGCCTGGCGGTGCACACTAAGACAGTGAAGGCCTCAGCATTTGACTGACCCAGAGGGGAGGGGCCAGCATATGTGCTTCAGAAGAACTGTAACCAATAAAGAAAGAAACTGGGGCCTCCTATATATACCTGTATAGAAGAAGCCAAAAATATGAGAAGAGGAAACAACAAGAAAAAGTCCCCAGCCCCCAATCCTGAGAACACTGATCCAGGAAAGGTAAATACAAAGGAGAATGAGAACAGCAAACATGCAATATCAGACATGGCAGTGGACATAAAGAGATATCTTCGGGACCTCATAGATAAGTTCAAAAGTGAAATATTTAACCAAATAAAGCAAGATATAAATACATTAATAAAAGAAATGCTAAGCACCTCTCAAGAAGACACAGATGGAAGCATGGAGGAACACAAAATAAGGGGAGAATTGTTTGATGAAAAATTTAAGAAAACATAGAATACATGAAGCAGATTCAAAGAGATTACCAGGAAATTAAAAACTCTATGGAAAGATGGCAAATCAGCTTGAAAGAAACTAAGGATAGATTATCCAAACTGGAGGACAATTTTGCAATGTGGGACTATGAAAGGGAAAATTTCTTAAAAATATCAAGGAAACAAGCAGTAACAATACAAAGTCTAGAAGATGACAAGAGGATCTATAACTTGAAAATAAAGAATGTAAATGAAGAAGCAGGGGTACAAACAAAGGAACTACAAAGGCTATTCACAGAAATAATTAAGGAAAATTTCCCAAACTGGGGAAAGGAAATGATATTCAGATCTATGAGGCATTCAGAACTCCAGCCACCTACAACCAAAACAGAACTATACCTAGCATATAATAATCAAGATCCCAGAAATTCAATATAAGAACAGAATATTAAAAGCTATTAGAAACAAGAAATGTATTACTTAAAAGGGAAAGCCCATCAGAATTACAGCAGACTTCTCGACACAAACCATCAAATCAAGAAGAGCTTGGAGTGAAGTATTCCAAGCCCTGAAAGAAAATAACCTCCAGCCCAGATTGATGTACCCTGAAAAATTGTCTCTAGAAATTAATGGAGAAACAAGATGCTTCCAAGACAAAGAGGAACTGGCAGAACTCATGACCACCAATCCAACTCTACAGAGAATACTGCAGGTCATCCTAAAGACAGAGAAATGTACCAGGAACAGTACCAGAGAGACTTCAATGAATGGAGCAGAAAGCAAAATGAAGAAGACAAACAAACAACTAATGACAGAAAAAGAGCACAACAGAAATGAGGCAGAGAAGATTGGCTACAATCTAACATAAATGGCCTTGATACATTAAATTTTAAAAAAAGAGAATCACAGGCAGAGTAGATCAGGAGGTAGGGTCCACCGAGACACTCTCTATAGGAAATATAATTAACCTGAAAAAGGGTATATGGACCAAAAATCAAATATGAGTAAACAATGCTCTATGTGACAGGGAACCAGAGAATAATAGGGGCAACTAGACCAGTATTTCTGGATAGTTTGGAAAGACAGGCTTTAATGGGTAAAAGAATACAACCAGAGATCAAATTCAGGAGGAAGAAGGTTCAGAACCACTTAGGTAAATAGCAGCCCCCCCCCCCCAGTTTAAAACAGACGGTTTTGGTGAGACCCAAAAATGCACAGTACACCCTGGGGGAGAAAGGAGAGGAATAACCTTAAAAAAGACAGCAGAAGATATTGTTAATAGTGTATCAGGAATTAAGCCCATATTACTCGCACCATTCTACTTAGATAGAACTTATTCTGTCCCAATTTGTCTATAAACACTAGATCTGAGGGCACAGACAGCTATCCCAAAAATATTGGGATATAGCACAATAATCTTCTTTAACTTCCTATTAACTTAAACTGGAGTCCTGTATAACTTATACTGTTTTATCATGACTGATCTTAGTTAAATCTGGTTTATTTGATTGTTATTTGCTATCAACAGATTTTATTTAAAACTGTTGTGATTGATAGTATCAAGTCTGAGAGTATAGACAACTACACTGAAAATGGCAAGATTCACTATGATACCCATTCTGATTTGATTACTACCTGTTTTTGTAGTTTTATACTATCTACAAAGTTGTGTTTCTATTAATACTGTTATGTACTGATATATTCAATTATATTATATCTGATAATATAGACAATTCTATCAAAGATAACAAGAGACAACACAGTAATTGTGGTAGAACTCCTGTAGAGCGGTTTTATATGTCTTTCATTTTATGTGTGTATAGGAATATCTTGTTCTGTCCTGCTCTGTTTTCTTTCTCTTTGTAATACAGAAAGGATAGAAATACATGTTAAGAATCATGTATGCGTAGAACCTATAAACAGTTTACAAGAACTGTTCTTATGATACATGATGAAATGAACAAATACTTTGAAGAAAAGGAGACACTACAGTACACAGTGCTGCCCTCGGAGTGTCATGATGTGAAATCCAGCAATGCTAGTATTCTTTGTTCAGAGTGATTTTAGATGGCTTTGGTTTGTTTTATCTCAACATAAATGAAGATATACATCACTGCATGTATGTTTAAATGTATAGGATTGATAACCATGTGTTGCTATGTTTTTGTTGGATAATTGTACGCAACTATTTGCAGTCTCGCTGTTTGAATTCCCACTTATTATGTTCCACTTTTGTATCTTGAACAATTATTTGTAAGAGGAAAATATGTAAACATCAACTAGTGATTTATTACTGTTTGTTTTTTCTTTGAAAGTATGTATTATTTCTACCCATTTTCTGTTTTGTTTAGTCTTTCTTGGAATAAAATTCTTTAAAAAATTTTTTAAAAAAATGAACCTGAGAATTGAGCAGGGGTGGAATAGAAAAAGAAAAAATATAAAGAAAAAGAGGATAAAACAGAAACAGATAAAGAGGGGAAGAGAGGTTGAAAAGAGGGTAGGAGAATAGGGACGAAAAAGGGAACAAGATGTATCATGTACAGGTACAAATTCCCTACAATGAATGCAACCATTATGCTTATCTAAACTGTACCAGTAAACTTAATTATTAAAAAAGAACCAGAAGTCTTCAAATAAAGTTAAAATAAAATTAAGGCCACATAGCTAGAACTTGACCCAGTCTAGCTCCAGAACTTGTCTTCCTGACAACGATGCAATCCTACATGATTCCTCTGTGGACTAGAGGGACTTGGAACACCTAGATCGTTTCCTCCCTTTATTTGGAGAACTGGGATGACTGCTCTGCAGATGCATTTCCTTAAAGCAGTGGAGACAGCGACTTAGAGTGATGAAAATACCACTCTGCTCCTGCAGAGTAGGAATCATTAAAATGGGAATCATATTTGGCTTGAGCCCTATTCCAAAGGAAGAAGATTATCTGAAGTTTTCTACAGCTGGACAGGAGAGTGGGTGTGAACCACAGTCTCAGGAAGATAGTGCTGTTTCCTGAGTGGATTTCAGTTTACCTGAGACCTTGGAAAGTGAAACGCTCCAGGAAGTAAATAGTAGCACCTGAGACAAAAGGAAAAATCATTCAGACCAACTTTAAGATTTTGATGTCTTCAGTTGTTAGAAATGTTAAAATATTAATTATTTCAATCACTAAATTTTTTGGAGCCCTTTTAAACTTTCTGCCTAGAATAAAGGCTTCATTCCACACTTTGCACCCATGAACTCTGCTCTTGTGGCCTGTGGTCTGGGTTTAGTACCTACTCTCTAAACAAAGCTGTGTTCACTTGGTGAAAGTACTTAACATCTTGTTCTCACTTATAGAGTGAACATAAAAATCTCTTTCCACTAGAAAGGACATTTAGGACAACCAAAAGAGCCAACAGTGCTAGAAATATTTTGGGCCATGTAAATGCAGGTGAGAAGTAAGTAATGTAAAAATTGTACTAAGGTGACAGTTCTTGGCCAAATGGTCCTTATGACTCACACATCCCTTACATATTTACACTAGAAATTTGTGGTACATCAAATTGCCTAGATATTTGCCACTTAGAATTTTGAATCTGCTCTGGTGGGAGTGAAGCATTTCATTTTAGTACGCTGAGCTTCTCCTTACTATAAGCAGGATATATATCGTTAAGCAGAATGAGGTCAACTTTTCCAGGCCCAGGCAGTGCTTTGGAATCAGTCTTTACTACTAACATATGGATAGCCAAACAGGAAAGGGGAAGGAATACACAGTCACTGTAAGGGAAGTGAGGACACCAGACATGCAAGCTGGTGCCTCTGCCCAGAGCTCACTAGATGGGGTTTGCAGAAGCTTCCTGGGCCCACGGTCTTTTCTAAAATATGCATCTCCAAGGGCAAATAGAGTGTGAAGTGGACGTGTACTGCTGAAAACTAACTGCATCTGGTTTTAAGCATTCAATGAACAATACTTGCTTTCAGCTTTGCATGAAGTAACTAAACAATTGAACATCCAGTACTCTGGAATTTTCCCAAGGGGTGTAAATTAGAATTGCATAAGCAGCTTACGCACAGGCTACAGTGTTATTCAAATCTCTTCAACTCCATGGCTACCTGTCACTGTCACTATGAACCCACCACACAATGAACAAAGTAGTAAATACTTCTACTTAGTCTTCTTCATTCAATCATTCCTCAAATACATATTAAATGCCTGCTCATATCAGTTATCCATAACTGTATAATGAAGAACCCAAATTTTGATGGCTTAAGAGAGCACATATTATGGTATCATAGCCCACAACTTCCATGAGTCAGAAATCTGGGCACAGGGAAGCCAGATGCTCTGCTTTGGGAACTAAAGCAAAGGGCTGTCATCATCTCATGCTTTGACTGGAAAAGATCCACTTCCAAGCGTGCGTGGCTCTTATCATCTTTGGATTCCTTACAATCTGTTGTCCACGTTCAGTTTCTTGCTCCATCAATTTCTTCAACATGGCAGCTTCTTTCATCAAAGTACAAGCCAAGATGTAGAGTCTGCTAGCAACACAGAGTTGAAAATCTCCTGTAATATAGTCATAGAAATGATTTGACTAGCCACACCCTGTCATCAGAAGGTCCTGTATTAACTGCTTGCCACGTTTGAGGGGAGGGAATTATTCAAGTGTACGAATAACAAAAGACAGCACTGGCAACCGTGTGTGAAGCTCTCTATTACACTTCTCTGCAACAAGCTTTGTGTTGAGAGCTGGAGCAAGGACAAGGAACCAGGCAAAGGAAGCAGCTTCCCTGGATTTCCTTGTCTGGGTTTGAGATAATGAATTATGAAACCCAGGTGATGAAGACAGGGGACAAAGCAGAAAGGCATGGTGACCCAGCCACGCTTCCTTACAGTTTCTGAGTCAAGTGGATGAATGGGAGATGAGCCTCAGATTACTCCTTTAGATTTCACTAGAACAACTCTCAATATAAACAAAATATGTGATTGGTAGTAAGAAGCAATTAGGAAAAAATAGCTCCTGTGTTAAAATGGCTAATTCACATCTCTTTAGAGGAGGAGAATGCCTTTCATCTAATTACAAATGTGTTCTGAGGTGCACATTTCCAGCAGTAGGTCATACTTTATCCTACAGCCAAGCCCAGGTACAAATTCCTTCTTGAAAGCACGTTTGGCAGGAGAAGATCCTACCATTATGAGTTAAAGAAAAAAATAAGGGGAAGCTGCAGAACAGGGGTAACAATAGTGTTCTACTGTGACCAGCAGAGTCATTGCCCTTCAAAGATGTTACACCCCAAACCTCAGGATTTGAGAGTATGTTCCTTATCTGGTGAAGGGGGGTTTTTCAAATGTGATAAAGGCTAAGGACTTTTAAATGGGAAAATTATCCTGGATCTTCTACATAGGTCCAATAAGTCACATGAGTTCTTAAGAGTGAAATAAAACAGAAGAATATGGGAGAGAATTGCAATAATAAGTCTGCAGAAATTCAAGACAGAGGAGACAGAGGAAGAAGGCCAATAGCTAAGGGCTTAGGTGGCCTCTAAAAGCTGAGACAGCTCTCAGTGGATAGGCAGAAAGCACACAGAGGCCTTGCTCCTACAACCGCAAGAAATTCAATTCTTCTAAACATGAATGAGCTAGGAAATGAATCCTTTCCTAGAGCCTCCCAAATGAAAAAAAGCCTGCACTTTGATCTCAATCCAGTGAAACCCACTCAGTCTCCTGACCTATGGCACTATGAGACAGTCAGTTTGTGTTGTTTTAAGCTGCTGAGTTTGTGAAAATTTGCCATGACAGCAATGGGGAAAATAACTAATGTACTTTTGCATAAGAGTGCTTATGGTGTTCAATTCATGAATACATAAAGTAATGGAGCTGCATTGAGCATAGGGTGAGTACTGTGCATATGTTTGCTATTAATGTGACCCTGAAACCTAAGAATTATTAATTTACAGATGGAAAAACATGGCCCAGCTGTAAGTGGCTTAAAGAATGTCTCCACTTTTTCTTTCCAAATAAATCCCTCCTAATGATCATATGCTGTCATGTAATAAACCACAAGTTTCTGATGCCAGAACCTCAAAGGAAGGTGATCAGGGAGCAATTTTTTAACACTAATCAGTAGACTCAATAAAATACCCACTGACCTTTTAAGATCTGACATTCTACTTTTTCATCTGGTAGAGAAATTTTCTCCTGAATTTGGTTTAATACACTTAGTACTTTAATCAGATTTGGATCATATGTCAAACCTCTAAAGAAACCTATTGCTCACAATACTCATTTATCTTGCTATTACCAGGGTATTATGGTTTTTCCTCTTCCTGTGTTTATTCACACTGTGTGCCCAGCACTTGCACCATAAACACCTGGTTGGCATGTGCAATAAATAGTTGCTCAGCAGCTGTTTGCAATAGAATCGTAATAAGAAATATCAGAGTGTTTTTATGCTCTTTATTTTGGTGAGTAGTTTCCACACTCATTAACTAATCCTTGGGAACAGTACATCTGTCAGTAGTGAAGGCAGTTAAGAGTTTTAGTAGTTGGGGGGATTAAAACACAGGCATAAACAAATCTGACAATAAAGGGCAATGCCTAATATGATGGAGATCGTAAGTGTACAGTGTGTGCTATTATCTCAGACTGAGGAAGAACAAAGGAATAATCGTGAGTCAGAAAGTCACTGTTCTGATTCTTCTGACCACTCACAGAAGGAAATCTCACTTCATGCTAGAGGATTTTTGATATCATTCTCGGACTGGGTTTGTTTCACTTTACAACCTCAAGAGAACGGCATCAGACTGAGAGGCCCAGGATGCCCCAGTGTGGTGCTAGATTTAATTACAAGGTTTGGCTTCACTTGTGTTTATCACCATGGATACCTTGTGTTCATGACCAGTAAAATGTTTTTCCATTTTCAACAGTGATAAAATGTGAAAAGTACTTAGCTTCAATTTACAAAAGTGAGTCCAGTTGTAAATTTAAAAAGAGTAAATACTGCCCCACATGGTTCATTGATACGTTACCAATTTCAAAAGCATTACAGGAAGAATTGGGGTTTGGGAAATACCACGATGCAATGGATTGAGTGTAAATGCTTAAGTAATAATATTCGGGAGGAAGAAGACACCAAATAGGTAGGTCAGGTTGTGAAAGACCGTCAGGGAAGAAGGGGGATTTTTCGAGGGGCAATGAGAGCACAGCGGTATAAGTCGAGGTCAGGTCTACAGGGTATCAGGGTGACCTCAGATGGCAGTGAGAAGAGCATTTTCACTCAGGTAAAGATGTGTGAGTTCACCTGTCATGAGCCGGAGCAGGCTTTTACTCCTTGCTGATTCTGTCCTCCACTAGGTCAAGTGAAAGGTGAAGAGTCATCTGCTTCTCTTCAGGAGCCAATCTTGAGTTCATTTTCAGGTATCCTCATGGTAACACAAAGTTACTTTTTTCTACACTGTCAGATCCCTTGATAGCAGGCTGCTGTGCTTTTCTCATTATTCTCTTCAAAGTGTCTACAGTGCCCACCAGCAAAGTCTCCTTGAGTTAAAACCAACACTTGCTTATTTACACACCAGTTTTACTATTTGCAACATGAAACTAAGAAGTAGTTCCATCCCTTACAGGGAGCTTAGTAGTGATCCTGCAACTCTAGGAAATTCTGTCAAAGGAGTTTAACCAAAAGACCTGTAGTTTTCTTTTTAAATTGTAAATAAAAATTCTCTTTTATATCTAAGAATCTCCCACACACCCATTCTAAAGATGTTATATTATATAGGCAATTCTATTAGAGATAGTGGGAGGCATTATGGTAACCATTGTTGATCACCTAGTATTATGCTTTTACATTATCTATTACATCCACCCTTTTGATTTGACTGACTCTGTTCTGTTATGTCACATTTGGTTCTACTCTCTTCCAAAAAAGTAATAAGAACTGTAGGAGCAACAAAACCCAAAATGTGTAATTGTCATTGTACAAAAGAGAGGAAAATAAAGTGCTCTAAACGATATAACTGCATGTATATTTAAGTGTATAAGATAGATAATGATATTACTGAGTTTTGTTGGATCATTGAACAGAACCGTTTGCAGTCTCACTGTTGGAATGTCCACTTTATAAGCTTTAATTTTGTAACTTGAACAATTATTTCTAAGATGACAAAATGTAATCCATTAACTAGTGATTTCTTACTGTTTATTTTTTTCTGTAAATCTGTATAACTTGTACCCTTTCTCTGCTTTTTTTTTCTTTTTCTCCTTAAATAAAATTTTTAAAAAAGATGTTATATTATATTCCTTTCCCTGTATTTTCCGGTAATGAGTTAGTTAGAGTTCATGGGCAGAGATAGGGAAGCAGCTGGCTGTGTTAGAATACTTGAAATATCATAGGTATTGAATTTTCTAGATTCAGACAATAAGTTCGTTAAACTCTTACGGATTGGGTACCAGTGTTTTCACACATTTTCAGAAAATATTCTCTAGAACGCAAATGTTAATCCTCGAGTCTAATCTCTTTTTTTTCTGATTTGAATGGTAGGACTTATGTCAAGTCACCTATAGCTCTCTGATCATCATAGAATTGGTACCTGTTTCCTAATGCTTAGGAGGGAATTGCAGGAGCCCCCGCAGGGACAATGGAAGGTGAGTTCGGTCAGTGTTCTGGAAGAGCAGCAGCTTGCTGACTCGATTGGTCTGAGGAACAAGGGGAAGTTTTAGGGAACAAAGAAGTATTTTATGTCACATGCCATTGATATTGTTGATATTGTTATCTATGATGTCTAAAGTCTGATTTAAACACTATTTTCATAATCTGTGTACTTGGTAAAGCAGTACAAAGGGTCATTAACATCTTCACATGAGTTAAAATCTTTTTTGAGGTGTAATGGGTCATATTATATACATTTTGATAGAAAAGACGCTTAAGTCAGAATCTGTTCATGAGAAGGTTAAATTTCAAAATGTAGGCCGTTTTTGAGTGGCTGATGAAGAAAAGCATACATGATATGCAAAATATGCCTATATAGTATATTACAGGCTGTGTTAATTAGCTTTTCACCACTAGGAGCAAATACCTAATAAAAACAACTTGAAGAGACACTTACTTTAGCTCATGAGCTCAGAGATGTCAGTCCATGGAAACATGAAACAAGATGACAGAAGGACTGGGTAGAGATCACTTTATGGTAGCCTAGAAGCAGAGTGTTTCAGAAAGAGTGCAGTGGAAGATTCATCCTCCAAAGTCACACCCTCAGGGACCTCCCTCATGATGGACCCTACTGCCTAACAACACGTTTAGCTATGAGCACCAGTGGTCTATGCAGAGGCCTCCTGACTCACCTTCTCTCTTAATCCTGTCATGAAGACAATTAAACTTAACCATCAAATAGGCATCAAACAATCAGGAAGGACTGCAAACCTCCCTGAATGGACACAGGCCACTGAGAGGACTTAATGGCATATGACATGTAAACATCAGCATGAGAAGAGAGACCATTCTCATAGACAAACTCTAAGAGCCTATTAAGTAGTATTCACTGATTCTTACAAAGAACATTTATTGAATTCCT